CGGCCGCCACCAAGCCGGGCCGGGGCGCGCGGCCGCGGGCTTCGCTCCGGGCACGGGCCAGCCGCCCACAGCGTGTGCCCGGTGGCCCGCGCCTGCTCGCAGGACGGGACAGACAGCGCATTGCGGAGCCCACCAGGCGGGCAGGGAGCTTCGTGAGCGTCCCCGCCACGCTGGCCAGGATCTTCCCTGGCCTGGGAGCGTCTCCTCGGGAGGCCTTGAGAGTCAGGAGCTGCCGAGGAGGGGGCACAGGGAGGTGGGGGAGGACACACTCCGCTGGCCCTGGCCCAAGGGTCCCCTCCCCCCCTGCTCCGGAGCCCCTCCTTCTTCCTGATCCTGCCTGGGCCCCTCCCCCTCCCGGCCCCGCCTGGCGCCCCTCCCTCCCCGTGTACCCCTGGGTCCCTTTTCGTCCGGACTGGCGCCCAGGTGTTCTGGCAGCGCCCAGGTGCTCTGGCAGCGCCCCTGCGCGGGCTCTGGTGGCCACAGGGCATTGAGGAAAGAAAGTCCCTTGCGGCGCGGCCAGGAAGCCAGGCGGACAGGGTGGAGGAGACGCTGGGCGCAGACGCACCCACAGCTGCCTGAAGTCGCCCGCTCCCCATGGGAGGGGGCGGGGCTGAGCTACCCTGTGTGCCTGGGGACTTCTTGGGTGATCAAAGGCAGCACTCTCGCTCAGGCCGGTCCAGTGTCCGGACGGGGGAGGCGTAGGGATTTTGGAGAGTAACTTCGCCTAAAGGTCTCGAAAGTGTGACTCAGACCGAAGGGCTAGCGGCGCCCAAACCTAAGTCCTGATGACCCCCCACCCCCACCCCCAGGCAGAAAGTACGCCTTCCCAGCGCGGGGCTTCCTGAGCGCACTGTTCGGCCTGCCTTAGCAGACTGAATAAAGTGAGAGGTAGTGGCGCCAAGCGGTCAGCGCCCCACGACTGACCGCTGTCGGCGACCCTGACTGTTGCTGTGACCTTGGCCCCAGCGGCCCAGGCCCTTAAGCCGGCTTGCAGCGCCTGACCCACACGAGAGGCGCGGGGACGCGCCCGCCTGCTTGGCCCTGGCTCCTCGAGCGCCGGAATGGGGCCCCCGCCCCGTTAGGAACAGCGCCTAGACCGCCAACCCCTGGCGCCACCAGGGACAGTCGGCCGCCCTGGCGCCGCTCAACCTCGCCCTGGGGCGGCCGTGGTGTGAGGAAGCCTGGACCTTGGGCGGGCCGCGGGGCCTTGGGCACCTCTCCAGCGCCGTCCCCCACAGGGCCTGGGGCGGGGATGGGGGTGGTAGGGCGAATGGGAAGGCTAGCGGCTACCTCCACCGCAGCTAAGGCTGCCTACCGACCAGCGCAGGTGCCAGCCGAGCACCCTCCCTGTGTGCTTGAGACGCCTGTTGAGCACCGCCCATCTTGGGCGCTGGGGATGGCACCGCAGATCACACAGCCTCCTGGGGTTGAATAGCTCCCAGGTTAGCGGAGTTGAGGGTATCAGGGCAGGGGAGGGGGCCACGTGTGGAGAGGGCAGACAAGGACAAGTGCAGGGAGGTGCTAGGATAAACAAGTGACCAAGCAGAGGGGACTCTGCTGGCAGCAGCAGGGGGGCTAACAGTTCGTGGAGTGCAAATCTGTTAGAGGGTGGGACGGATGTGAGGAATGTGCTTCCTAATGACTCCCCAGGTGTCTGCCGAAGAGCAGCTTCCTGGTGTAGAGGCCACACCTAAGGACTTGCTGGGCTCGCACAGGGCCTAGGGGGCTGGAGGGGGTGGAAGTCCTTGGGATTCCTGAGGGACTGGAAGTTCCCAAGCTGGTGTTCAAAGCGGCAGAAGGGAAGAGACCAGGAAGAGGCCACTGCGGGCTGGTTTGTGCTGTCTTATGTATCTTTAAGTGAATTAAGTCATTTTTAAAATGCTGTTCTCTACGTGGAACATTTTAGAAAGCAGACAGGGAGATAGTTTGCAATTTAAATAGTGGTTTTTCAGCCCTAGTCCTGCCCACACCCCCTACTGGCTCCCTCACTTCTTGTTTCTAGAAAATTATGGGAGTTTCCAGAGTCCCTGATTTAAATGTAGATGACCCAGGATCACCTGCCTGAATCAGCCCAGGTGTCCAGGGTTCCTGCTCCACCTGCCCTCCCTATTTGGCAGGCCAGGCCTGTGTGCTTGCTGCTGAGACATCCCCTAAAGTCCCTACTCCTGCTGGCCCATCCTGGGTAGAAGGCCTGGGGTGCATGGGCTACCCAATTTGGGCTGGAGAAAAGCTTGCAGAATGCCCCTTCCAAAGCAAGGCCCTTCCTTGATCTCCAGGCTTTAATTTCAACAGTCTTGAGTCCCTGAAGCCTTTGGCCTGCTGACTGCGGTGTCTGCCTCTTCAGGGCTGGCCCTGGAAGGTCAGATGGGAGCAAAGAGGGGGTGCGCAGGAGACCATATGGAACTCTTATTGGGACCTAAACAGGGCGAGCGTTTAGGAGCTGGCAGAATGGGCAGTAGAGGCATCTTGGACTCTAGGCTGTCGGCTTGGAAGGTGTTTCAGTGTCTTCTCCAGGAAACGGGAGAGGAAAGCTGGCATCAGGATGCCTCCCCTCAGGGCCCTGGTCTGCTCCAGGATTTGCGCTCAGCGGCCTGGCCTTTACTCACCAGTCCAGTGCCTGTCTCCATCTGGCAGGGTGACTCATCCTTCAGGTCCTGGTTCAAATAGTCCTTCCTTGAACACCTGAGCCCAGACCCACCCAGCATGGGTCCTTTCAGAGTCTCACTGACTGCACTATGTAACTAGCTTTAATCTCTCCCAGGAGACAGGAGACACGGGAGCTTTCCCATGATTGTGATGGTGCTACCATAACCACTATCCTATTCCATGGTTGCATGGCCAGGCAGCCAGTGACACACACAGACACACACACACACACACACACCCCTGGACTTCCACCTGTTATTGAGTTCCCCAGACCTGGCCCCCTAAGTGGGTGCCAGGCAGCCCGACTTTGTCAGAGAAATACTTCTGAGATGGGATCAGTGTGTAGGCCTCACAGGTCATAGCCATGCGCTGGAGATCACAGATTCTCCCAGGAGCCAGTTCCAGAGGTGAAATGGAGTGGGCCCTGATACTTCAGCCCCCTGCTGCCTTGTGACTGGTTTCATGTTGAGATAGTTGGAAGAAAAGGATGAGGCCCTGGAAAACCGAGACCTGGTCAGGTCATTGTCATTGAGCAGCCACTGCGGGTGCAGGGTACAGTGAGGTGAGGAGCGCATTAGTCCTCTTCCCAAAGCATTTTGAAATGGATCCAGAGTCCAGATGTGGTGGTGTATGCCTGTAATCCCAGTGCTGGGGAGGCTGAAAACAGGAGGACCACTAGGAGTCCAAACTGCATGTTGTGAGACCCTGTACCAACCACATTTTAAAAAATGGACCTAACCTCCCTGAGGCTAGGCTGGGGAACAGTCCTGTGATGTCCTCAAGGCAGGACCTCAAGGGAGTCTTGCAGCCAGAGAACCTGAAACCCCCCCCAAGGTCACAGAGATTTCTAAGGGTTTTTCCTGTGTTCCATCGAAGAGCCTTCAGGAAGTTTGAGTCTACGAGACTGGCTCTATCTGCCCAGCTTATAGGGCTTTCATCTCAAACGCTGGGCCAGAACAGGCTGTGAAAACTGTACTGGAAATTGTACAGAGAGCTAGTTAAGAGCAGGGACCCTGAGCCAGACTCTAGAGTCTTCACTGTGATCTTGGGGGACTGCCTGCCGCCTCTGTGCCTCAGGGTCCTCGCCTGTGAAGTGGGAATGATGATGCTCCCTATGATACAGGCTTGTAGTGCCTTTTGTCATTTTCACGGGGTTCTTATCACAGCCCCTGCCCCAGCAAGGATCTGCAGGAGTCAACTGCCATTACCCCACCAACGTTGCTGTTACTATCACTCCCACCACCACCACCACCGTCACTGTTCTCACCACCGTTACTACCACCACCTCCACATTCACCCTCACTATTGCTAGAGTTCTCTCATCTCCATCATGATAGGTTTTCCCTGCAGCTATTCCCGAAGTGGGAACCTCAGACTCACCCCCTAGCCCCAGGCCCTGAATTGGTTAGGGCTGGGCTGGATAAGCAAACCTGTGCCCACACGTCTTGTGTAGGATCTGTCCCCATGGGCATTTAGCTCAAGCCTTTGGAAGCTGCTGACTAGCCTGGGAGATGGGTGCCTCCAGAGAGCTGCCCTGGAGCCCTGTGTACCTTGTGTCCTGCGGAGCCCCGAGGTCAGGGTGGCACTCAGCAGTCAAGAAACCTCCAAATGATTGCTTTAGTTTCAAAAACAAAAGTGAATTGTGGGGGCTGGCGAGATGGCTCAGTGGTCTAAAGCACCTATTTGGAACAAGCTTGGGAAAGCACAGGGCCCACACACACACTCTCTCTCTCTCTCTCTCTCTCTCTCTCTCTCTCTCTCTCTCTTTCTAAATAAATGTTAAAAAAAAAACCAAAAGTGAATTGTGGCCCATTTCTCTTTCAGTGGCCTGTTTCTTCCTTGGCATAAGTCTGTTCTCCACCACAAGAGCATGTTCTCCATGATTAAGCCAGGCCAAACATCCTGACTGACTTTGTGTCACTGAGAATAAAGGTTGTGCCCTCATTTACTCTGTGGGCATTTTTTAATTTTTTATTTAATTAAGTTAGTTAATTTGTGGTACCAGGGATTGAATTCAGGACCTGACACTTGCTCTACTGAGCTATCTCCCAGCCCGTTTTGTAATTTTATGTATTTGGTACAGGGTCTCCCTATGCAGCTTGGACTTACAGTGATCCTCCTGTTTTTGCACCCACCCCCCCAGCACTGGGATTACAGAGGTGTGCCACCACACCAGTATTCAGTGGCCAGCTCCACATGCCTGGCAGGCAGGGCTGGTGTAGCATGTAGTGCTGGGGATCAAAC